TCGGTGTTTTCCTTTGGAGTAGCAGAGTTAGTTGGTTGCATTGTAGTTGGTTGTAGTGTGATGATGATTAAAGCCATCAAAAACAGTCCTTGAAGTTGGGAAGTAGATCTCCTTTTATAGACCACAAGTGTTTTGAGGTTCACACTACATCAGCTCTTGTGATACACATATAATCTAACGATGTGATATAATCCGTTCCCAAGTTTGCAGTAATATGGATTCAATGTTGGTGTTGATGCAAGTAATATTTCCCGTTTAGGACTCAGACAATGGCGATGTGCGACACCAATCACAGCTTCTTAGGGCATTATTCGTCTCTTTTGGGTAAAATTTCCATTTCGAGGCCTCAATTATGGCAGTAGTGTCCTTCGTTAACCAATATTGTCTTTTTACTTTCAATAAGTGACTGATTATCAGTAAGTCATAACGCTATATCATTTCCGCTCCATCAGCAACTGCTGCGTAACGGGAATGTCAGAGTTCAGTAAATAACTGAAGTATATTGCTTACTGCTTCAAAAGTAATCTGTATCTGGGCTTGTATGGAATATTGTGGTATTGAGCTTGTGAGGTATGAGGAGCAGGATCGTTTCAATGATAAAAAAACTCTGATTTGCTAAACAGATGAACAAGTAGTCTTCGTTGCCATTCCATAGAGTTGGGCACTTTGCTTACTGTGTGCCTCTTCAACCATGCCTCTTTCACAGAGATCTCTTGTGTACAGATCTCCAGAGCTCTAATAGTAGGGAAATATTATCAACTATTCCAAAAAATTGCGGAATAATGGAACCGTTATATACCAATTGGAGGCACCCCAGCATCAATGTTACTTGAAACATGAAAGCTACAACCGAGAAAGTAACTCGAGCATTGAGACATGGAAACAATGAATAGTGTCAAGACCTATGCTTTTACTGTCGGTGATAGCCAGTAGGCTACATTTGTAAGCTGTGCTTCCGGTGTTCAAACTTGCAGAAAGATGTTACAAACATCAAACAGCGTTCTAGCGCATACAGAGCAACTATATATAACAGGTAAAATAAAGAATG